GTCGTATAGCTCAGTCGGTAGAGCGCAGTGCTAATAACGCTGTGGTCCTGGGTTCGAGCCCCAGTATGACCAATCTTTTGATCTTTTCACACTCCCAGCACCAACGATACCAGTGCTCCCTACACTTTTTGCCCTCCAGCTCGTTCCTTTCTCACAATATAATAAAACTCAATCAAAGACCTTTCACCTCCGCATGGATTGCTCAGCAAAAAAAATCGGAAATTCGACTAGCAGCGCCCAACAAAGCCAGAAATCGTCCCCCCGACCTCATTATTTTTGCTTTCGTCACTCATACCCGTTATAAAGTGATACCATTCCCGTCGTCTGCAATCCTCGGGATTATGAAGTAATACCAGTTTTCGTTTGCTTCCTTTGGCAGTGCATTGTTAACGAGCGGTCGGTAGCGTCGGTCATTCAAACCCGACGACACATCAATCGCCGAATCTGCAGAAGCGTCTTCGGTCGCGGATACAAGCGGCTCCTCGAACGTCTTCACGCAACTGTCAGGCCACAGGCGACGTTTATCTACAACGCCGACAACTATCCTTATTGTGCGTCCACCTGTAGATGCAGCGGCCGAGCGACGCGGTGCGCCTAGGAGCGACTTCAAAGCTTTTCTCGCAGCCCCTCCCAAGTATCTAGTATTTGCACGATCTGTGCGATCGTAGCGGTTTGTAGCATTCGAAACGCCGACGCCTCCAATGCAACGCGCCCGAGTTTCTACGTATCCCGATGCCGTTACCCTTGTTTGACTCTTGAGCACGCTCGGTATTGGGATCTCGTGTAGGTAGTGAGCGTCCATGGCGAGCCGGTGCAACTGGCATGGTAACAGTGTCATATTACAAGTGTTAGACCGCAACTTAGATCGACGGAATACCCGCCGCACGCAGCCGCGCCTCCAACGATTGGAACTCCTTCTCGTTGATTTCGTTCAGCTCCTCGTCCACGACTTCGAGAATACCTTGCACTTCCGGGATGTAGTGCATGAGCATGTTTTCGACACCGTTTTTAAGCGTCACGGACGAGCTCGGGCAGCCCGCGCACGAGCCCGCGAGCTGGACACTGACGATCCCCGTCTCTTCGTCGAAGCCCCTACGTATCGGCGCTTGAGTGCGCTAGAGATAGGTGCGGTCACCGACTTGTAAAAATATCACCGCCGTCGTCCTGGACAGCCGGACGAATGCGGGTCTCGAGCAGCTCCTTGATCATAGCAACGACTTCGTCGTCGTCGTCCAAGATCGTCGTGTCCTAAAACACAAGCGTGATGGCACGATCCACGATCGAGGCGCACCGTAATGATCGGCTGGTCCGACATGATGGGCTTGCCCGTCGCGTAAAAATCCATGATGGTCGCGAAAATTTGGCCGCGCAAGAGCTACAGACAAGTGAGATTCGTGCCACGTCAGCACGACGCATTACATCCCAGTCTTCGTCTTCAGTCTTCGTCACCGAGATAAAGTCCTTGCTAAAGAAGACGCGCGTAACGCCGTGGATCGTGAAGAGCTCCTTCGCGAGCAACGACTGGCGCACTTCGGGCGACTTGGGCGTAAAGTCAACACCCGTCGTGAAGCGCTCGTCAAGCACGGCACGACCCGGAAGAAACTTGATGCTGTGCGGGTTGGGCGTGTTTTCCGTCTGGATAAACATCGACCGCGAGGGCACTACTCGCAATAGCCACATGGGCCATGGGCAAGAAGGAGCCATGGCACGTACCAGCAAAGAAAGCAGCCATACGCGGCTTTACGACCGGTCGCATCGAGTGGAAGCTCATGGCCATGGCGGCGCGGGCGGGGGCGCGCGCAGCAACTGCAGCGCGCTGCGAGAGCGAGACAAGGCGACGGACGGCGCGGCTCATGGTCGTCCACAGCTAACACCAAATTGAAATGACCACGCCATTGGCTCCTGGACCACATCGTGCGCTGATTGGACAAAATACCTGCCCGAAGAAACCTCCAGAATTCGAAATGCTAGCCCCGTCAACGACCTTTTTCCTGCCTGCACCAGCACACTACATGTAGTACAGTGTGCTTGGAGTATAATTCCTGAACGTTAGAAGCATACTCACCATGGCCACGTTTGGAGCAGAGATGACCGACCGAGGCCACACCAGTACGAGACAATAGAGCGTAATTGAAAAGGCTCAGTACGAATCGCACAATGGCTTTTGCAAGGCGAGGCACTATCCTGGTACTCGCCACTCGAGTTGATCGTTTGACCGATTGCCAACATGGAACATGACACAATGGCAGGCTTACGACGCCTTAGAGAACAACACGGCCCTTAGTTGAGGTCGTCGTCGTCAAAGTCGTCCCCAAAGTCTACACGCGATTGTGAGGACGCGGATCGCGGATGGAGCCAGTACCGTTGAAGAAGTGCTGGTGCACGAGCAAGTCGGCGCGTGGGTTGTAGCCCATGTCGACGTCTGGGTCCATGGGTTGCATTTCGCCTTCGAGCTGCATCTCGAGCGCCGGATGGTGCCCCGGGACGGGCGGCTGCCGCGTGGCGGAGCGAGGCGGCGAATCCATGCTTTGTTTGCGGTGGGCAACGATTATTGTCGCGCTTGTATGCCATACAAAAGCCCAGCTTCTTTGGGAAAATTAACGTTGCAAAGTATATAAAAGGACAGTGCAGGCTAACGACCACCTGAAAAACAATGACGTCATACTGCACCATTCTGGGAGTCGACGGCCGCCGAGCGAGATGCCCATCCTAACCTTCATCGCGCGCGTCTCCGATGGCATGATCCTCGTGCGCCTCTTCCGTCTTCATGCTCAGCAGTCGCTCATGCATGCACGTAGGTGGCTTCGATGGAGTCTGCCGGCGACTACCACGACAACCTCGACACGTACAAGCAGCAGGTAATGCACGTCGCCGCACAGTTGTCGCCCACGCGGTTCGTCTGAATAGGGCAAGCAAATCATGAAGAAGCTCAATCAGCGATCACCGACCAAGTGCAGCATCGAGTCGGGCCCGTACTGCTTCCAGTACGACCGCGATCATGCGGAGCCAAAGCTAATCTTGGCACTAGCTACCTCATCGAGGAGGGCAACTGCTACCTTACGTTTTCGGACAAGAACTACCCGAAGCGCCTTGCGTTCTTGTACCTCGAGGAAATCCATGCCGGCTTTGTCGACGAGCTGCAGCGGGACCACGGAGACAAGTACGATCGATCGACACACGTGTTCCGCGAGAAGGAAGCTCATGCGTTCACTTAGCTGGCGAGACACGGTCACGACGATTGCGCGGCCGTATGCGTTCATCAAGTTTGGTACGTCGATACACGAATCGTGGACTTGTTGGCACCGATGCGCTTCCACATAGACAAGTTCATTCAGCGCAAGCGCAAGGAGTACACGGACCCCAGCTCGTCCCAGAACATGTCCAAGGTCAACAACGACCTTGCAGATATTCACAACGTCATGCGCAAGAACATCCAAGAAGTGCTCAACCGCGGCGAAGCCATTGACCGTACCAGCTCCTACCGTCTTGCACCGCCAACATCATCTTGGTAGGCGTCTCGCAAATGTCGTCCAACCTCGCCGACCGCTCGAAGGATTTTAAGTGGGGCGCGAAGAAGCTGAGCCTCCAGGTACAGTCGCTCGATGCAACGCAAGGTCGATTCATGCCGTCGTAGGCCATGTACCAAAAGTACGGCCCACTGGTCGCGATCGGTCTCTTCATCGTGCTCGTACTCTACTTCAAGTTCTTTTAACCGACACTAGAGCAGTACTACTAACGCATCACACAGCCTGGTGATCGTATGAGGATCAAGCCTACTTGTTTGCTCTTGCTAGTCCTTGGCCACGCTGGAGGCCATGGCTGATTTCTGCTTGGTGTGCGACGGCGGTCTGTGCGTACGGGCGCCGAACACGACGTCCTTGGCCTCAACACGGTCCGACCCGCGGTGCTGCGCCGCTTCGGCGGCAAGGTGCGCGAGCTCATGGGCGTACTCGAGTGCCATGTCCCGCAAGATGACCTCAACCTGCACGCCCAAGGCAGCAGCATCGCGTCCGCGTCGGGCCGCCACAATCTCGTTCCAACTGCGCATTCTCCCGGCTTTTCGAGCACAATATCGAGCAATATCAAGCAGCAAAATAGAAATCAACAAACATGTCTCAAGTCTCTTCGCGGGCGCTCCTTGCCTCGTAGAGGCGCACGCTGCCATCGAGGGCTGCGGTCGCAATTTGGGGTCGCACGGGATGGAAAGCAACGCTCGTGACGACGTCCGTGTGTCCATGCAGCTTGGCGAGGCTGCGGCCCATGCGAATATCGTAGACGTACGCCACCTTGTCTTCCGAGCCCGTCGCCACGTACCTGCGCAGGTAACGTTAGAAAAATGGTACCAGCGCGACGACGACGCCAATTACCGCATGCACGGGCTAAAGGCCGCGCCAAGGGCATGTACTCGGTTGAGATGCTCACCGAAGCGCATGATGCAGTTGTCAGCGCGGATGTCCCAGAGGTGCACGGTGCTGTCCGGCGCGCTCGTGAGCAAGAGGTCATATACATTGGGCGCATGCTTCACGTAGCTCGACGCGCGGGGCAAGACGACCTACGCGCGTGGGTCTACTTGGGCAATACGACGAAGACGAAGACGAACCGAGTGCGCCGGCCGCGAGTGGGCTCCGTGGATCGTGCGCGCTGTTTTTCCAACGGCAACATCCACGATGCGGATGCTCTTGTCCGAGCCCGTTGCCACTAGGAGGTGCGACAAGAACGCGTTATGCGCAGCGAGACCAGTGAGACTCTGGACAGCTTCGAAGCGGTAGGACGCGACGGCTTTGGCAGTCGAGAGATTCTCGAGTTGTGCGACGTCGGCGCGCTTGCCCTTTGTTTCTTGGCGTGCTCGACGCAACCCGCGGCGTGGGCCATGTCGATGTCATATAGATATAGCTTGACGGCATTTCCCACAGCAACCGCGACAAATTTGTCCATATAGTAAAAGACAGCATCGGCAACGTCCGCCTTGACGGGCTTCTTGGCGCGTTTGGACGCGGATGGAAGAGGTAGCGTGAGCGACGCAACGTCGCTGCCGTTGACCCACACGCATGCCGTAGCATCGGCGGACGCTGTCACTAGTAGCTTGTTTGAGTGGCTCCAATGGATCGCGCGCACAGCCTTGTCGTGGCCCACAAAGAGATGCGACTGTGGCTTGTGAAGTGCTAACACTTGGCCCAGCCGGTCGTTCGCGGCCGTCGCTAGCCGACGCCCGTCATTGGAGAATTCAATGTGGTTGATCGCCATTTCGTGCAGCTTGACGTGCGACGACACAAGTGCCGACGGCACGGGCGCGTCCAGCGGGTACTCGGTCAGCAACGTCGCACTCTTTGTGCTGACCTTCGCCGGCAACTTGGCTTTACCAAGGCCCTTGAAGCGGAGCGAGAGTGACTTGGGCTTCTTCTCTGCACCGTACCCGGACGATGGAATTGACGTCCGGTACGTTATTGGCTGATCGAGTGGGCTCTTGGTGCGCTTGGCCAACGGCGTTAGCAGCTGCACCAAGACGGAGCCCTCTGGTGGCGACGTTTGCGGGTGCATCGAGAGTCCGTGCGTCGTAGCCAATGAGGACTGCGAAAGAGCGTGATGCGCCGCCGCAACACTGAGGGCCGTGACCCGGGGCATGAACGCGTCCAGTACCCAGACGTCGCAGCGGCCGGGCTCGGGGCGCAATGACGCGTGCTTGGCGATGCCCATGGACACCTCAACCTCGTCTTGGAAGGCGCGTATGACGCGCGTGTCGTACGAGAAAGCGTTGATGCCCACGAGGTAGTTGACGGTTGCAACAAGAAGAGTGTGAGCCGCCTCCACGATGGGCTGCACGTCGAGCAGTGTTTCGGGTGGCGTAGCTGTGGCAGACGAAGCCATGTATGCCAGTCCCAAGATCGTACACGTGGTTTCGTGCATCGGCTCCATGAGGTGCTCCATACCTGGGAGCACCACGGGGGTCGGGTCGAGTGACTCGTTGGCCTTGGCGAGGGCCCGTGCCTGAGCACTTTCGTACGCGCGTTGGCTCCGAGCCCACGGCGGCAACGAGCTCACTACGTTTTGAGTCGCCTCGAGCACCTTCTCCACTTGTTGTGCGACCTACACGAAATGCATCTGTACCCGCCAGCGAGAGCATCTCTCATTACATGTTGTTTCTTTTCCCGGCGATCGAGGTACTGGGCCAGATTTGCGGATGCGAGCTCATTCCCAAACTTTGTTGCGTCGAAGACGCGGACGACGCCATCACCAAAGGCACACGCAATGTCGCCCGACACAGGGTGCACAGCGAGACGCAATATCGCGTACGCCGAGAGGACGGCAGATTGAAACAAGAGCTTTTGCTCCGAGAGGTCCCAAATCTAAGGAGAGCGAGTCAGATTTCTGTGCTCAACATTAAGGTACTTTATAGGTCCGATCTTCCGACGCCGTCACGAGCCAGTGCGGATGGCACGGGTGGAAAAGACACTCTGTGATCTATTAGTTGGAGGCGCTTAATGAGTGCGTTCATTAACAAATCCCATACCTTGGCGAGATGACCCTCGAGTGTGATGAAGATGCCGCCCGTTTGCGCTTGGAGCACATCCACCTGCTTGCCCAAGGCCACAGCGAGGAGCGTGCCCGACGCATCGAACGCAATCGCCGACACTTCGGCGCGAGGCGACTCGGTCAACGGAAGCTTCTGGATTTCAATCTTGTCGTACGGTGCAGGCACGAGGCGCCACAGAAGGACTCTAGTCACGTGTACACGTCGAGCCCCAACACAGAGTACGCACCGGTCCGTCGATACGGTGCATAAAGTGTCACAAGCGGAGCTTTCGTGGAAGCTGGCAAGGTGCACGCGCTCCGTGTGCCCGCCGAGCTCGACAAGCCCTGGCATGGCCGACGACGGGCAGTCATTCTCGGGCGACGCCTCGTTCTTCCAGAGCTGAAGAACGACGCAGTCAATGTACTCGAGAGCGACGAATGCGTAGCGCCGGCTTGCACACGCGTATGTGGCAGTGGCCGCTGGCGTCCACTGCCGCGTCGCACTGGGCACGAGGGCCATTCCGCAATTCGGTTCAAAAGCGTATCTTTCGCAAGTGCAAAGCGTTAAAGTGTTTAACCTACCCGGATATTCCAAATTGACGTTTTATGTTTACGGCAACCATTTGCTTGGACTTGCATTTCTCTTGAGAACGCCGCAAGCAACCTTGCACATAAATGTCGTGAAGTCACGACACATTCTACGGCTTGAACAATACACTCGGACTAGCATTCGCGCTACGAGTGCAAGCGAGAGATAGCAAATAAGGGCGCACAGCCATGAAAACTGGTTGCGAATTGTGAACAAGTTCGCAGCAGGACGACTACGATGCATGCGTCGATGACATAAATTTGCCCACACAAACAGCAACAATCAAATAATATTTGCCCGCCCGTTGCCATGGAAGAATACTCCTCTTGCCTCCGCGGTATGATATCGAGTTTGATCTTGCGTCTTGAAGACCACAACCACTCTTTTCACGACTCGTCTTATATTAGCTATTAGCTAGCGCCTCGATAGAATCGACGTCAGGCTGCTACGGCTCGTCGTGCCTTCATTTGAAAATGCATCGTCGTCGGCTCACATGGTCACGACACTTGCCGAGTCCGCTTCCAACTCGACATCGACGTGCGTTGGCACGTCACTGGTTTGGTCCTTCATCTCGACCGCCGACGCCCGGGCCGCGAGGCGGTCGCGCCGGTCGCGCAGCATGACGGCACCGAGAAGCCCGATCGCAAACATGACGATGCCAAAGAGGGCGCCGACAAGCGGTCCCGTCACGGCCGTCGATTCGAACATCGTTGGCGCCTCGGCTTCCACTGCCACATCTGTACCCGCGCTCTTGAGTCGGCACGCAAAGTTGGCGTAGTTTTCGACGGCACCAATGTCGACACCAGTGCACTGAAAGACCCGGTCTGGAAGGTTCTTTCGGTCCTTGAGGTTGGGTAGCTTGGCCTGCGGGTCGGCAACAAACCAAAATCGAATGTCCACGTGCGCGGTGAGGCGCTCCAGGTCAATGAACGGCCCCGAGATGCTCATGGCTCCGGTCGAAATGCCGTAGACGGCGTCCAGCAAGTGGGCATCGCCGCGCACATTTTTTCGTATGCTTCCGGTGTGTAAAAGTCGGCAACGTTGATGTCAACGACAGCTTCCGACGCATTGTCCTCGTCCGACGGCGCGAGCAAGGCCGCGTCCGCAGCGCCGAGCTTGATATCGATCGAGAGCAGCACGTTGACGTCCTCCTTCTGGTCGTCGTTGCTGAGAAATTTACCAAAGGCGACCGTGCTGTTATAGTCGTGCGTCGCGAGTAGGCCAAGGCCTTGATCGAGCACGTTGCCCTCGGTCGCACTTTCCACTTGCAGCGACTTTTGGAAGAGGTGCAGCCACTTGCGCGGGTTGTTTGTGACTTCCTGCACTCCCACAGCAGCCTGCAGGGCGAAGAGGAGGAGTGCGACGGCTCGGACCATGAGGGCAAATGCTGTTGTGACAAAAGCCTCGCTGCAAGACGCTGGTCGCGCCTTTCATATCTAGAAGAAGTGGCGCATTCGCGCGCGAATAGTCGCAGGAAATAGAGCAATAGAAAAATCCTACTAGTGCTTGGTACGTCGAGAGGACGCATTAGAACAACGAGCAGAAATGATTTTCTAGATACGAACAGCAGGCTTTAACCGTGGCGCGGGACAGAGTGTCAGGTAGAGCTACAAAGCCTGACTTGAGAATAGTATGGCGGACGATTTCATGACATTGGTTGCCAAATTGGTTGTCGTCGTCGTGTGCTGCGTGGGCTGTCTTTCTGCCACCGCACTCGCTGTCGTTGCCCTTGACCTACGATTCCGCGCGGTGCACCCAGTTTCTGCTCTCAGCGCCACGAACGAAGGCACTTTCAACCAACCCCACACTGACGAGGAGGCAGCGACAATAGCTTAAGACAGCCTCATCAAACGACGCTCGCTAAGCAGCCATATTTTGAAGAGTGAAAACTCGCGAGTGACACATGCTGGATAAATGAATTATCCTTATGGGAGCTTCTACACTCGTGTATGGCTTTACATTCGACGAATCGACCAACAAGCGGACGACGACGGCGCGGGATGCTACTCTGCTCATGGGTCGCTCACGAGATAGGCGCATGGTGGTTGCATTATACTTTGTTAATCGCCTTTCTGTGGTACGCACTGTGCGTAGTACGTGTTAAAGGAAAGACAAACCCAGCCTTTGGATTGGCAGCACGTCGCTTGCTTCCAATACCGCCCGCCGCATTGCCCCCAGTCGGCGCTGCAAACCTCTGGCTTCGAAGGCGGCAGTGTGCCCTCTGGGCTCGGACTCGTCTGCGGTGTCGACGGCTTGGTTGTCGATGGCTTTGGGGACCGACTATGGATGTGTGGGTGCCGTGTTGTTGGTTGCGGCGTCGTTGGCGCACTCGCTGTAGTGGAAGATGGCGTCGATGGAGACGTTCCAGTTGGCGAAGGCTCGTTCGAGCTCGTAGCATCAAAGACGCAACCTCTTGCGCCCGAGGGCAGTTGCTGACACGTCGCGTCGGCCGGCGCCACGCACGTTCCAGACGTAGCGTAGTAGCTTCGCAGACCGCTGTTACAATCTTGCGCCGCGACTTCGCCCTTCTTGGGGCATGCACTGCCTTCAGCACCGCAGATGGGGCCCTCGACACAAAACGTGGCGTCGCCAACAACGCTGACGTGTGTGCAGACCGTGCGACTGCGGTGGTGTGCCGCCTGTGCACACACCGCTGCTAGGAGGACCGCGAGGACGACCTTCATGCTGGTTTCGATGAACAGGCAAAGTGCACGATCCGGAGTTGCCTCGCACGCCATTGGCTGTCTCTCCCGACCATCCGGATTTCTGCACGCGACAATTGGACGACACACGCAAGATATTTCCTCGCATGAAAAATCTCCACGACTTCTATCCACTTCCGTGAAGAGGCTGCCGTCGTCACAGTGTTGGCGCGCCGCTGCACAGAGTCCACTTGGCGCACCAAGGAACCGTGCCTCTTAAAGTATGATGAGCGGGCGACTCAGACCCGCGCTGACCCGTCGCGTGACTTACATTCTGGCGAAGCCTCATTGGCCCGAACACGCAGGGCGCTAAAACAGCCAGCACACCATACAAACCTAAAGACATAATTACCAACACCACTTGGCAGCACCGAATTTTTGCTGTTCGCGAGAGACACTCGCACAAGCAAATTTGGTGTTGCGAGCATGCAGCTCGTCTCGGTCGTCGTGCTCGTCGTCCTGAGCCTCGTGAGCCTCGCTGCTGCCTACAACGACGACCGCGACGTTCTTGTCAAGAACGCGCTCGGCGAGTTCACTGAAGACTTTGCGCGGTCCGAAAACGAGGTCTACAAGGCGATCCGAACCGACTTTGGCTTGCCGCTGCCCGGCCACGCGACGACGCCCGTGACCGACGCCGAGTACACGCACGCGATCACTGTCGTTCAAAGCCTCGGCAAAGTCGCTGACCAGCGTGCCGCCGTTGACAGCGTTCGCGCCGTCATGGCACGAATGACCAAGACGGAGCTGCTGCAGTTCTTGGCCGAGTTTGACACGGAGACAGCCACGAAATTTGTGGGTCTTGGCGCGACTTTTGCCCTCAACAAAACCTCCGTCCGCATGGAGGCGTCCTCCGATGATGCTATACAAGCCAGCGATGTGGGCTTTGAAATGTCGGCCATCGGCGCAGCGATCGTCGTCGCGTCCGTTCTCGTCGGTGTCGTGCTCGTCGTCCGAATGCACCGCCACGAAGGTGACGCTGCCATCATTGCGCACGTGCTCCGAGCGATCCAGGACAAGGATAAAAGCCGCCACCAACACGACAAGACTGCCAAGACGATCGTTGTCGTTGTGTAGTGCCGCACCATTAGCATAGTATACTAGCCAACCAATATTAACTTAAGACTTTCATTTCGCCCATTGTCCAGTCGGTGCACCCACGCACGAAAAGCCATCGCGTGTGACAAGGCGCGTTGCGATCGTTCGTTGAGACCGACTTGCTCAAGATCGAACGCCTCGCAGAAAACGTCAAGCGCGAACCGTACAACACCGGGCGTTCGTGCTGGACACGATTTCTTCCTCCGCTTCGAGTGTTCGGATTCAAAAGCCGCCTTCCCTGGCCCAGGTAGGTGAGGAATACACAGTTCGGATTGTGTGGCTCGTCGTGGATTGTCGATCAGGCCATGCATTTGGTGTACGTATATGTGTACTTGGGTGCGGGACACTGGATGCAATTCGACGCAACGCTGCTTGCTGAGTGATCCGACGCGCGCTGGACTCGCTTCGATATTTCATCATCATCAGGTCAAGGAATTCAATTAGAGCGTCGCATTTTGACTCTATTTACCCCTACCAACCCCCACCCTCTGCCCGCTGCGGCGTTGATACCCCCGCAATGCGGGGGGGACGCCAAGGGTGACCCAAAACCCAGGGCAAAAAATCGGACGACGCTCTAATTTACAACTACCCTGAAAACGACACGCTAATAATGTAAATGAATTCCCCGTATATCTATCATCAGGTGTTGGATGCTGGATTTGGAGTCGAATTTCTATGTTTCAATGGATCCCCGTACAATTTTGTGGCCCTAGTGTCGTGGATGCAAACCGTTCATGGGGGTTGCTACCATCTTATAGCTCCAAAGCCAAGTATATGTTTCGAATGCAAGCACAGCCACGTCCAGTCGTGTGCGCGGTCTTGGCATCATCCAAGGTCAAGACGACGACGGTGAGCGTGCCACGTCATTCCAGCGGTTTCGGTGCAACCGACGGCGGCATGGAGAAGGGCGCGGCGATCAAGTGCGTGATCAACGACGAGCCAGCGACAGAGAACGAGGCGCCTGAAGATGCGGAAAGCGAGAACAATGGAGCGTACTGCGCCAAGCTCATGGACGATGCAGCGATCCGAGCGCTTCGGCGCGCGCTCGAGAGGACGACCGTGTCGATCGAGACACACGGCCATTTACGCGAGTTTCGGCGCAAGCCAGAGGAGCCACCTCCGCTACAGTATGCATCGCTCCAGCGCGAGGCCCACAAAGTCCATGAGCTACAGACTCCCGTGCTTCCGCACCGCCCGGTCTCGGCGCGGCCGACACGTACTGCATACTATTCTACTGGTGGATGGCAACTTGGCGGCCAATGTGGACGTGTAGCGCCCGCTGCCCATGTCAGTCGCTCACGTCCGTCCACAGTACACAGCAGTGCGGCCTCCAACAACAAGCTGCGCCGGTCTTTCCAGGTCGTGCTCGCGGAAGAAAAAGCCAAGTACTCAGGTGCAACAACCATTCCGATGCACAATCGTCGTATCGTACATTTCGTAGCGCTCGAAGACCAATATCTCACGCTGAAAGACGCCATTTTGCGCGTACGTGCATCTTGCATCGCCTCATGTCGACCGTCGTTCGATCACATTGTCATAGCATTTTGACGACTTGCTGCACAACCCGCACAACGTGGACCGCGACTGGAGCGCGGATGCGTATGCGCAGCTCGCCGAGATGGACGCGCGTCTTCGAGACGAAAACCGGCTTCGGCCCCAAGACGAGCCCAAGCCGCGACGTACATCCTCGCCACTGCGCGCGCCACGGCCGCCGCCGAACCCACGACTCGAGAGCTAACCGGTTAACCTATCCTATTTTGCACTGGAAGCCCTTGTGTCGGTTGAATGAGGCCGACCGGTTAATCATACGGATACTGTTGCCATCCATGCACGGCCAAATTGCCTCTGTCGTTGAAGCAGGCACCAAGGCGATGGACAAGGAGGCGCTGTTAAATGGACCGTTGAGCGCCAGCCGTGGCAGCGACCGGGCGCGAAGCCCTCGTCGGCGTCAAGGGTCGCGTCGCTCGCGCAGCCGCACGCGAAGCCCCGTGCGCGATCGCCGAAGCCCGCGTCGTAGCCCGCGCCAGACCAACGCGCGGTCACCGCCCCGGTCTCGCCCAACGTCCCGCAAGCCCGAGCCGCACCGTGGCGACGGAAAGGTTGACCCTGAGCTCCGCGATGTCAACGACGACCCGCGCGTGGGTACGGTCCTCCCGTGTGCGATCAAGGCCGCGCGTGGCAATACGGGCCGCAACACCGAGTCGTTCGACCCAGCGTCGACGCTCGTGCGCCCAGCCATGCGCATCATCGTCGGACCGAAGAAGCCCGTTTTCGACAAGCCGCTCAAGCACGACGACGTGGTCGTCGTGCCCGACTTCTTTTGCGCCGAGGACGACTGGAGCATCTACTACAAGCTCATCGAAGAGATGCGCGCGGCGCAGTCGAGCGGCGCTGCCAAGTCCGAGTGGATTCCGTGGGCGGAAGGCTGTCACTTGATTTCGCAAAACCCGACCGGGTCGCCCACGTACGAGATGGTGCTCCGGCGCGCGAGCGAGTATTTCAACATGAAGGCCGGGTCCCAGGGCACGCGCTTCAACTGGTACCGTGACTCGTCCGACTGGAAGCCGTTCCACCACGACTCGGCGGCGTACAACCCGGGGCGCGCCCGCACGCAGAACATTACTGTCGGCGTCTCGTTCGGCGCCGAGCGCGAGCTGGCCTTTCTCCACGCGCAGAACGGGTCGCGCATCTACTTTCCGCAGTGCAACGGGATGCTGTTTGCGTTTGGGCGCGACGTCAACATCAACTGGAAGCACGGCGTGAACGCGCTTGCGCCCCAAGTCTTTTGCGGCAAAGGCCGGATATCCATCATTCTCTGGGGCCTCGCGCAGGACGTCATCGAGGAGCCCGAGAGCCCCGCGCTCTTGACGAACGATGCGCGCAACGGCTTTGACAACCGAGGCCGCGCGAATGGTGATGTGTGCCGCGACTTCCAAGCCGGCTCGTGCCGCTTTGGCGACCGCTGCAAGTTTAGCCACGCGGCGCGTCGCTAGACATAAATCTCTTGGATAGACCATCTTGTACTGCCTTGTTTGTGTTGCCGGCCGTTGCAAGCACGCCTGGCAGCAACGTGAAAGCTGTTGAGCCGCCTGGGAATACTAATCGCGTAGATGGGATAACCGCAATTTCGGTAACGACATCGCGAGCAGCACTTGAAGCCACCAGCGCGGAACCGGCGCCGACGACAATGACCTCGACGAAGCGACTGACGGCTGACTTTTTGATGGCCCATGCTGGCATCTACGACCTCGGCAGCACCAAAGAGGTCTTGTCATCCTAGCGCGCATCTCCTCGACAACGACTTTGTGCATGCATAGCTCATTCTACGCCAGGAAGGCCTGGCCGAAGTCGACGACGCGTGCGCGCAGGAGCTCAGTGCGCTCGAGCTTCTCTCGCTCTCGCACAACGCACTGACGAGTCTGCATGGCTTTGCGCATCTTGTCAACCTCGTCGAGGTAGTACGCTTCGTATCTTCGTCTCTCGACATGCCCGTAGCTCAACATCAACTTCAACCAAGTGACGTCGCTCGAGTCGCTGCAGTGCTTTGGCCTCCAAAAGCTGTACGCGGCCAACAACTGCGTACGTGGCCGCTCGTTGCTTTGGGCTTGATCGGAATGCAGATTGCGTCGCTCGCGCCGCTCCGCGCCTTCCCAAAGCTCTCGCACATCTCGGTCTTTGGCAACGCGATCTTGGACTTGGACGCAGCGCTGCATACGTGCAAGCACCTCCTCAAGGTAGCAGCGGACAATAGAGCGCGCGCCGTATGACTCAAGCCACGCGTAGCTCAAGAGCATCGATTTGGACGGCAATCCGTGCGCGCGTCTGCATGGATACAAGTACCACGTCCTGCGCGCGCTTCCTCGCCTTCGCGCGCTCGACGGTCCTTTCCATCCCACCATCCTTGGCAACGCTTGACCATTGCTTGATCGTAGGCGACGTCTTGCAGGCGCTGGATCGCGACCTCTGTGATGTGCCTCCGCCCGTCCCAAGCTCGAGCTTGCGCGCGCGGCCGTCGACGCCGTTCCAGGCTGAGCGTACAGCGGACCTGCACCTTGTTTGAGCATCAGCTCATCCTCCTCCTCGGTAGACGTCGAGGAGTTGCGCGGTCACGTGCAGCTCTTCCGCGACGACTTTCTCAACAACAACCCAATCTTGCTCGAGTACCTCGCCCAGGTGTGCACTCTGGCTGCGACACCGCTCATAGGCTGTGCAGAGCCGGCTCGCGCCCCACGAGCCCCCTCTCGAAGAGACACCGACGAGCAACGACTGCGAAAACAGCAAGTCGGTCTTTGTCGAACGCATGCGCTTGGCCAACCCCGACCCGTCGGCAGTCGAAGGCGGTCACTCGGAGCCTCCGCTCACAACGCCTCGCCCGTCGACACCGTCGGTGCCACTCTCGTCCCACGCGATCGTCGATCCGTCGGACCCGAGCACGACGATCCGGAAGCTCCTCAAGCACATTGAAGGCCTCTCGGTACCGCGACCGACGCGGCACGGCCATTAACTTGGGACGTCGTAGGAGATGGTCGCGCACTACAAGGGCCTCGTGGGCGACGCCGCCATCCACAAGCTGCGCCAAGAGAACGCGCAGCTCCAGGTTGAAGTCAACAACATTCCAATTCTGCAGCAAGTACAGCGGATCGACAGTCTTGGTAGACGCGTACATGTATATGGTAGGAAATCCACGAGCTCAAGAAACAGCTCTTCGTGCGGCCGGCGGCAGACCCCGCCATTGATGCGCGTTGCACGCAGCTTCAGGTAGTACTCGGGAATGCGCATGATGTACGCACGATGGATGGTAGGCGGAAAATGCGTGCTTGACGCGACAAGTGGCCAAGCTCGAGGCCATTCTCGACGCCAAGAAGACCTCGCCCGACGTCGTCTCCAAAGAAGAGGTATACTTGTCTGCTGTCTCGGGCCTCACGAGAGCCTTGACGCAGATCCTCCACGAAGCCGCGTCCGTGGATCTCGAGCTTACGGAGCTCATTTTGAAGAATGAGATTTCGCTCCAGCTCATGCGTCATGTACGAGGATCGATCGCGTATCTCAACGCCAATGCCGTGATTCGATAGAGCATTCAAAACCAAGCTCGAGCTCCAGAACGAACGCGTCGCCGAGCGGTGCGTGTGCTTCTTCCTGGCGTAGCACGCCTCATGACGGTGGGTAGGGTTGGTGTCCGGCGCCCCATGACGAGCGCGGGTCCTGGCGACCGCGTCTCGTGCACGGAGCGCGCCACGGCCTTGGAGCGCCCGACGCGTGTGGCACCTCGGGCCATCCACACCTCGGCAGGTCCGCGCGTCGCCATCAAGCTGCTCAAAGCGTCGACGAAAAAGGGCGGCGCGAGCAAGAAGAAGACGACGCGGCCCCGCACGATCAAAGAGGAGGAGGTCGTCGAAGGCAACAATGCGCCCGAGTCCGCGGCCGACGTGCTCGTGCTGGCGTAGGCCCTCTGCATGCACACGCAACCAACGTCTTTTGTTTTGTATAAAGCGGCGCGCCTACGATTCGTCGACTTGGGTCCAGTTCCACGCATTGCGCGCGTGGGGCGGCACGAGGCGCTCCCGAACGTCCTGCGGCACTTGCGAGAGCTCTACAGGATCGCCATTGAGCGCATCGTTTATATATGTGCAGAGACGACCTTGAAGCGTAAAGTTAAAGAGGGGCGGCACGGGCTGGTTGTTGGCAAGGGCGAAATGCGGGCGCCTAGCATATCCCCGTCCGTTCCGTGCAACGCGTCAAAGTACGCACCGCAAGTCGTCAAAAAACGGGTGGGCCGCAGCCTCAAGCGGATGCATGCGTCTATGAAGCCACACGATCAGAGTCCGAGCACAATCGTCGCCGACAATTCGTACTTGGACGGGGCGTAGACGAGCATCTTGGTGATGAGGTCGACAGCCTCCGAGTGGCAGTCGCCAAACTTGACGGCCCACTGCGGGCGGATGCGCGGGAACTTGAAGTCCGTGTGCTGCGGGTTCATTGCGTGGACGTCGTCGCGCGTCGGCGTGCCCACGATCTTGATGATGTTGCTGAGCTGGTCAACGAACCCACTCTCGCCAGGAAAGAGCGGCTTGGATAGCAGCATTTCGCCAAAGACGCACCCGAGCGACCACATGTCTAGTAGCAACGTGATGCACAATCAAGTGCACTGGGTGCGTACCGATGGCGGTCGTGTAGTTGGTCGCCCCAAAAATGAGTTCCGGCGCGCGGTACATGCGCGAGCAAATGTACGAGACGTTGGGTTCGTGGGCCTGGAGCATCTTGGCACTAGCAGTCATACTACGATCGAGACACGAAGCGGGGTCTCATGCAGCGTACCTGCCAAAGTCGCAGAGCTTCACGACGTGCGTCTGTGGGTTCACGAGTACGTTGTGGGGTTTGATGTCGCGATGGCAAATGCCCATCGAGTGCAGGTACCCGAGCGCAATGCACATTTGGTACATGTACAGCTTGGTGTAGATGAGCGGCAGCACCTTCTGCCGTTCCTGGAAGCGGCGAATGATGCTATAGATCGTCTCCGGGATGTACTCGAGCACGAGGTTGAGGTAGAGGTCGTCCGCGCCTGCCTAAAGATGGTCGCCATGGGTGCAAAGCCGACGATGCAGGTCGTACCCGCGAGTAGAAGCTGTGCTTGAGCTGCACAATGTTGCCATGGTGGAGCTGACGCATGATCTGGAGCTCGCGGTTCTTGATGCGCTTGTCTTGGAAGATCTTCTTGATCGCGACAACTTCCCCCGTGTCCTCGATGACGACTTGGAAGACAGCGCCGAACGAGCCGCAGCCGATCTGCCGCTCGACGCGGTAGTGCACCGTGCGCCCCTGGCCGCCATGAGACCCCGCACATACTGCGCGTCAACTTACATCGGACAGCGCATGCGACGAGTTCTCCAGCGTGATGCTACGGACCGCGTTCTCGCCGCCCATCGCCATGTACTAGTCCAAAGATGGAAATCACCGACTTGCCTTCGTTGTAGTCGGCTAGCATCCGGATAATCCGGATACGATGGTTTCCATGTTTTTGCTTCAACCTATATGACGCGCGCAATGCACGGAGGATCGAACGCTAGTCGGCTCCTCGGCGTCGCAGCCTCCGCGTTGACGAAACAGCGAGCTCCGGCTGGCGTGGAGAAGCCTCGTGCATCATGGATGATGCTATCAACTCTCCCGACACTACGATATCATCATAGCCGTGTCTTGGGTGCAACGGCTATCTATTTGGTATTTTGCTTCTCGACCAACTACTCCATGTCGTCGAGATCGCCGTCAAAGTAGTCGACCTTGACCAAGCGACCATCGAGCTCCTATACAGGTGAATTTTAGCCAGGGTACAGGATATACGTCTACCTGGCCGTTCATGGCGAGCATCGCGCGAAATGCATCTTCCGAGTGCTTGAAGGTAACGCAGCCCGATAAAAACATCGTGTCTTCCGACGTCGGCAGGATGCAGGCTACCGAGGCAGCGCGTCCATGAGGCCCTCCAGTCGCTCGCTCTCAACCTTACCTTGGGAGACGGCGCCAAATTTTTCAAAGGATTCGCGGAGCCGGGTGCTGTCGGTGCGCCAGTGGATACCTAGGCAATAAGATCTGCGAGCTGCTTCTCGTACCCTAAGTCGTCGTACCTTCGACATAAATACTCGTCGTGAAGAGCCGCGTCCGGCCGAGGCTGCGCGCGAAGGTCCGTCCCCGTCCAAGCATGTTGGCCGTGTTTTTGCAAATGGGCGCCTTTTTGGCCAATCGGCGTCGACGGCATAAATCCGCCGATTCGGGGCAATTCGAACGCGATAGCCAATAGCATGCCGTCCAAATCTGGATTTTGGCCAATCGTGTGCGAGATGCGTCGACGAGATCCGGGGTCGAGGGGTGCTTTCCGGCGATATCTTGGCAACTGTATATGCCCAAAAAGTCGAAACTCGGGGCGTGACGAAGATGAGCACCGCGAAGGCCGACGCCGAGAGCGACGCGGCTGTCAAGGCCATCGCGATCTCAAGCTCGACGCATACTCTCGCCGACGTACGCTTCGTCCATGAGGAAGCGCCACGCTCATGCCATGCGCTAGGGCAAGACGATCCATTACTCGGCGGAGCGCATCATCGGCAATGGGTCCTTTGGCGTCGTCTTCCAGGCTGCGATCGAAGAGACGGGCGAGGTCGTCGCCATCAAGAAGGTACTCCAGGACAAGCGCTTCAAGAACCGCGAGATGCAAATCATGCGCCAACTTCAGCACGACAATATCGTGCAGCTCAAGCACTGCTTCTACTGCAACGGAGAGAAGGTATAGCTACGATCGATGGCCATGGCGCTTAGCCGCCCCGTGTAGCCCGATGAGCTCTACCTCAACTTGGTCTTGGAGTACATCCCCGACACGCTGTACGGCGTCGCCCGCCAACTGCAGCGCAACAAGCAGTTCATGCCGATCTTGCACGTCAAGCTCTACATCTACCAGATCTGCCGAGCCCTCGGATACATTCACGCAATGGAGATCTGCCACCGCGACATCAAGCCCCAGAACCTTCTTCTCAACCCACAGAGTCACGTCGTCAAGATTTGCGACTTTGGCAGGTGCGTCTGCGTCTCCTCTATCACGTCATCCCATAGCCACGACTAGTGCCAAGAAGCTCCAGCCAAACGAACCCAACGTCTCGTACATTTGCTCACGCTACTACCGCGCGCCCGAGTTGATCTTTGGAGCGACGGACTACACGACGGCAATAGGTGCGCTTGGTCCACATCCCACATCTCTCGAATCTTGCATTAGACGTGTGGTCGCTCGGCTGCGTCTTTGGCGAGCTTCTCCTTGGCCAGCCGCTTTTCCCTGGCGAGAGCGGTGTCGACCAGCTCGTCGAGATCATCAAGGTGCTTGGTACGCCCGCGCGCGAGGAGATCCAGGCCATGAACCCCAACTACACCGAGTTCCAGTTCCCGCAGATCCGCGCGCACCCGTGGTCCAAGGTCTTTCGCAGCCGGACGCCTGAAGAAGCCATTGATCTCATCGCCAAGATGCTTGCCTACGATCCCGTCAAGTACGATAGCATTGATGGTCGAAGGCTTATGGTGCTCTAGGCGCATCAAGCCCTTGGAAGCCGCCGCGCACCCTTTCTTTGATGAGCTCCGGTACATTGCTCGTCACCTTTCTCTGGCGAGTCGCTCACTGCGTCCTCCATAGCCAAGAAGGCTTTGCGCTCCCGAACGACACGCCCGTGCCACCGTTGTTCAACTTTACGGCCGACGGTGCGGCGTCCGTCTAATACGAAGATCATGCTCATGTGTTGTGCTGGCGTAGAGCTGAGGCACGTGGACATGGCGACGCGGGAGCGACTGGTTCCCGAGCATGCGCGCAACGACGTCAACTGGCCGGTTCAAGACGATGGGTCCTGGCCGGACGCGCTAAAGGAGGCGAAGGAGCCTGTTGTCGATGCTCCCGCGCAGCTGCCGACCGAGTGAAGTCGTCTCTGGATATTAGTGCATGTCGAAACGATGGAAGCTGCTGATGGTACAATGAAAATTACATACTGGGTTGCTATAAAACTATGGGGAAATCATAACCTGGCGCCCAACGTGCATCAGGCTCAGCTTGTTGCGCAGCGGCGTCGTGTTCTCCTTTGCGCGGCGTGGCGACTTGCGTCGCTGGGCCTCCGTCGCCATATGACCGACCACGTCGCCACCGCTGAGGCGGCGCTTGCTGCGACGAAGCAGCTTGGGCGTCGTCATGCGAATTTCTTCCTTGGCCTCTTGGAGCTCTTGTTCGATACGAGCCACATACGCAGTTTGCTCAAGCTCGGCGAGCGTGTACAGATGCTTCGCGAGAAGGCGTTCAAGGTCGCCTTCCAAGAGGTTGTGCAGTGCGCTCAGCGCCTTGCGCGTGATCGGGTACGCCGTCATGTGGATCTCAGCGCACGTATCGCGGTATAAGCGCAGAATCAGCCGCCGTGGCAGCCAGTACAAACTTGTGGGCGACACGACCGATGGGGCACTCGCTGAATCAGCACCCGTCTCGACGTCCGACTCCTCGCCTTCGCCAAACGACGCGCCGTCTTCACCACTGCTGCCTTTCCAGCTGCACGAATCATCGTCCGAGTCGTCCGATGAGCTGCTCTCGGACGTCGCCCGTTCGTACAGAATAGCATCGTGAGCGTCACTCGATGGCTCTTCAGTCGTGTCCACCATATCGACGTCTTCGGTCGGGTCCAGCCGAGCAGCGCGCGACGTGTCGTCCGTCGCATCGTCGAAGCCGTAAATCTTGGCACCTCGGGCGCGGCTCGCGCTGAGTACATCGCTGAGACGCATCATGGAATCGCCGCGGAGGTGCATGGCCTCGCCGCTGGCCTCGATGAGCTCGTGCATGGCCGCGGAGAAAGTGTCATGGAACTCGTCGACGACGGTCGCCATGGCCGCATCACCTGCGTGGATGGCATAGCCTGTCTGACGGGCGAGGTTGAGGCGTGCGCGATCGAGGGTGGCGCCGAGCGTCGCTTCGAGGTGCTCCTTCGTGACCCAGCACACGTACTTGCCCATGGTCGAGAGATGGCAAATGGATTTCCCGCCTCCCTTTGCCGCCTATACTACTATCCGGATACCGCAGCTGCCCGTCAACCACTCTGTGCGGATCAACTCCTCATTAAATAGTGTATGTCACAAGACTGGCAAAAAGTAACTGAAGGCGACGTCTGAGCTTGAATTCTATTCCACCCCTTAAATACTGTCATGTTCTTGGTTGTCGAGCGTCCGGATACACGACGCGCACCACTTTTCTCGAAGACGCACCTTTGTTTGAAGAAACGCACCATAAACGGAGATCTGCACCTAGTACGCCGAGGCAACTTATCTTTCTTTTTGTCGTCGGATTCGAACACGGCAAGATCGCATGACCTGCCGCGAGTGCTTGGAAGAGACGTGCTCGGGCGCTGCGCTCTTTCTCTGCAATGGCATCGACTTGGCCTGCGGCCTCACGCTCGTCGCCTACGGCGCCTACCTCGGCATCAACCACTTTGCGCCGACGTGGCTCTTTGCCCCGATCTTGGGCCTCGGCGGAATGCTTGTGCTCACGTCGCTGCTTAGCTGGTGCGGCTCGTCGTGCCGGTCGTGCACGAGCCTGCTGCTGATTTCATCGTGGCTTTTGACGCTCGTCGCGCTACTCGAGCTCGTGATGGCCATCGTCATCATGACGCAAGGCGACGCAATCACGGACTTTCTCAAGCAGCACCAGGAGGAGCTCCACCTCACAGACGATGAACTTGCGCTCCTCGAGTCGCACAAGTTTGTGCCGGCGTACATCCTCTTTGGTTTATTTGGGATGGAGCTATTGCGCTTTTGCTGCAGCTCGTGCCTTCGCCGGTCGCGACTCGAAAACAAGTATGCGCGCATGAACCTCAAGAGCCTTCGGGGCATGGAAGACAACCTCGTGCAGACAAAGAAGGAACGCGAGGTCTCGGCCAAGTACCAAGCGCTCAAGGACAAGTATCGCTCCAAGTATGCTGGCGAGAACGACCAAGCGAGTAGTTTGCTCCTCGGCTAAGTCGCATCGCGTTGCCGGGCGTGGAGTTATGCTACATATAAGACTATAAGAAGTACTGTCCAGCGGGTGCTTCTTCCGTGCCCCAAGATGTATTTCCCCACACTTCTCCATTTTATACACAAGGGCCGCGTCTGTAGCTACTAGTCTACGTGGCGGGCTCCATGGCGCGCGACGCCTTCCACTTGAGGAACGTCGGAACGTCGGATGTGACGAAGTCCACGAACGCGTTGAACTGGTGATGGCCGCGGATGACGCCGAGGCTCGTGCGAGCAACATCAAGAAGCCGCGTGTCGCGCTTGCTGTTGTTGCGAATGAGCTCAAAGTTGCGCTCCATCATCTCGAGCGCAAGGGCAAACTCGCGCGTCTTGCTGTACAGGAGGCCAAGGCGCCGGCACGCTTCGGCCTGCGCCACCACGTTGTCTACAAGAGCATGTTGATGGAAATCCTTGGGATGCTCCGCGCACCAATCTTCTCAGCGACGACGAGGTACTCCTTGAGGTAGTCCATGGCTTGCTGCGTATGGCCCAGCGCCTCGAACGTCGTCGCGAGCGCCGCGTACGCCTTGCACTCGCCGTCGACGTCCCCGAGGTTCTTGCAGAGCACGAGCTATGCGGCAACAAAGCTGAGGATTGCAACCAAAATCAGATGGTGTACATAGTCTTTGAGGTACAGGAGCGCGTCCGTCGCTTGGGACATGGCGTTGTGGCAGCACCCGATGCGGTACTGGCCGAGCGCGACGCTCGGGAGGTCGTTGGCGTCCCGCGCACACTAGACATGGTCAACGCCTGTTTGTTTCGTCCAACGAACGTACGTCGAGAAACTTGATGTGGATGTGAATCGCTTGGTCGTACGCACCGGCGCGCTCCTGAATCGAGGCGACTTGCTCGTAGACCTTGCAGAGTTCGCGGAGCGCGCGGATCTTCTCGGCCTCGGGGCGCATGAGGCGCACAAGCTGCACATGGAGCTCGTGGTTGTCCTGCGCCTTTTTGAATTCCTGCAGGCCGTAGTAGGCGTTGCCGAGGTTCTCGAGCGCGACGATCTCAAAGTCTTGGTTGCGCGCAATGCGCGCAATCTCCAAGCACTTTTCGTAGAAGAAGACGCCGGTCCGGAGGTCGCGCGCGGCCTATCTCCACCGTCTCCTCACTGCACGAATCCAACAACGGCGTTGCACCGTGAAGTGGGTAGCGAGGCGCTCGTAGGACTCGAAGACTTGGATCACGTCGCCTTGGCGCCGCGCCGTCTCGGCCGTCGTCAGATTGTCGCGCAGAAAACTCATTTGCGCGGGCGAGACGCCGATCGGGAGCTTCTTGTCGGCGCCATCGGGCCCAACTAGTACGTACGTCATGGAACACTACGACGCGTGGAAAGCACTACTCTGCGTGTCGACGCGGTGGACCAAGTAGAAGAGGTCCACGAACGACTGCACGAGGCCCGACTTGAGCACCTGGGCGCATACCTCGCGCTTGTCGACAAGCGAACAAAAGACGGGGCCGTCATCGCGCGACCCTGTATTCTCGGCGCCGTTGCCGGCCGCTCGCAGCGGCTGCTGCCGCGTCGGCTTGACGCCGACCTGCGGGACCCGAATCGCCATGAATCTTAAAGAATGGAAACGGACGCAGCGTTTCGAGATCGACGGTCCATGACCCGAGCCAAGCAAGGTACGGGAGGGTCGGAGGTGTATTAACGTTAGAAGGAGATCAAGTGTGGACGTGCAGAAAGGAGGCGGTGGGTTGCGGTAGCGCGTCCTACAAGCCGTGAGGACACCGACACCGTCATCATCTACCTCGATGGATTCCCGCCGGTGCACCGCTTGCTTGAGCTGGTGGTGCGACTGGCGCGCCCAGCGGTCGCTGAACGCTGCAAACGCACTGGCGACGTAGTAGCAACAGGCCATGACGACGCTGCACACGAGCACGAGCAGCGGCAACTTGGTCGTCGTCCTGCCTTTGCCCCCGAGCTGCATCGTGGCGCCAAAATAGCAATTCTGCGTTTCATGCGAGAATTTCGTTTGTCGCGCTAGTGTATTTTCGACTACGGGCAGATCCCTAGTAGACCAGCACATCCGGCATTTAGAAGCATGGCATGAAGAAGGCGCGGACAATTGTAATAGTAGCTCGGCTTGCGCCACGAGGTACCCGCGTAGTACCAGTACAATGTATCGCCATATGTGCGTCGTACCAACTAAACCTATCAAGGTATCGACTTTAGTCGATGCAAGTCGTTCTCAATCCTTTCAAAACGGATATTGACTTTGACAAGATCGTCGACGATGAACCCGACGTCGCGAGCGCTGCTGACGACGGTGTCCATGTACTGGAAGGGCTTCGACCTCGACAGCAAGCGCGCGATGCTCGACGCGCAGGGCGGCTCCATGCAGGAGCAGAAGGAGGCGTCGCTCAAGTCGCGGAAGGCGCTCGCCGAGCACACGAAGCGGTTCCGGAAGCTCGCGACCGAGCCCGAGAAGGCCGCGAACCTGCCCGGCCTCCTCAAGGCGTACCAAGAGGAGATCGACACACTCACGAAGCGAGCCAAATTCAGCGACAACGCCTTCTTCACCTTGTACAAGGCGCTGTACGAGGCGCCCGACCCCGTGCCGGCGCTCGAGGCCGCGCTAGAAGCCTCGGCCGTGGTCGCCAAGCCCGGCGGCGACGCCGACGTTGACGCATTGCGCAAGGAGATCGAAGCGTACGAAGCCGAGTTTGCGATGCTGAAGAACCAGGACATTACGATCCGGAACCTCGAGGCCAAGATTGCGGGGTTCACCGAGACGCTTGAGAGCATGGTCGAAGAGAAGGTCCACGAGCGTTGTCGCGACATCGAGTACAACGCGACGCTGCGCGAAGGTACTGCGATGTCTACTGGCAGGCTACATGGGAACGTGCTCGTTGTAGATGAGATGGCCGCCATGGTAGGCCACTTGACCAAGTCCATGGAGCAAGCGCGGCAAGATCGCGACGACGCCCTCGCACAGCTCGATCGACTTCGCTCGGAAGTGCTCCAAGCCAAACAGCGCAATGAGCAGTTGCACCAGGTGCATGCAAAGGAGATGGCATCATGGGTCCTCGAGTCGGACCGACTCCGCGCCCTCCAGCTGGAGAACCAGCTGCTCAAAGACCGCGTTCAGAGCCCCGGCCTTGATCCCCACGAGCCGCTCGAGTCCCAGGTGCGTTGTTTCCTTGCCGTCACTAGAAAAAATGTGAACATGTCGGCTAGAAAGCAATGGAATGGGAACTCAAGCTCGCCCAGCGCGAGGCGCAGATCTCGCAGCTGACGCGCGATTTACTAGCCGCCGAAGCGCGAGCACCGTCGCTCGAGGCGAACTTGGCTGCCGCACTCGCTGACCTGAGTGCGCTAACGACTGAAGTGACGCACCTTCGGCTCCGACCGACCATCGAGGCCTACGAGGACCTCCTTGCGCAGGTCACGTCGTCGGCGGCCGCGCCCAACGGGATGCTCGAGACGCTCAAGGCCGAGCATGCACTCACCGTAGCTAGTCTCGAAGACGTCATTGCGACGCAGCAAGCCAAGTTGACCGAGTGTACGGCCATGATTCGTCAGCTCGAAGACGCGGCGATGGAGGAGCCGTCGGCGCCATTGTTGCAGGACGTCTTGGCCTCAAGCAGCGCCGAAGGAAGCGACTTGAAGCTCGTGTCAATTCTTCGCACGCAGCGCGACCGCCTGCGCGACCGCTTAAAAGAGTCGGACCGCGAGCTCCACAAGGAGACGGAAAAGGTGCGCCATGTCACGAACCGGCTCGCGCAGCTCGAAGCAGAAAACGTCGACTTGGTGCAAAAGCTGCGGTTCCTCTCGACGGCCAACTCCAATAGCAACAACGGCGACCTTGAGGCTGCACCATCCACCAAGTACGCGCGACTTTACGAAGAGAAGATGAGTCCGTTCGCGCAATTCAAGCAGCTCGAGTCCCAATCGCGCTTTGCAAAACTCAACACGATCGACAAGATCCTCCTCACGAGTGCGCGCATGCTTTTGAGCCACCCCGTGACGCGGCTCTTCATGCTGCTGTACCTCCTCTTCCTCCACACGCTCGTCGCTCTCACCATCTACATGGCCATGCACATGTGCGACGTCAGCAACGACTCGTAGTTGAGTTCATGAACCTTGCATCCGTACAGTAACCCTAACCCTCTTGTTCGCAGAGCTTTCCTTACATCAACAAGAGGTGGAAAGATTCGATCTGTACACAATATACAATGTATTTTAGCCCAGGTTTTGGCTTAGAACGCGAGGATGTTTTGCGTGTCGCAGTTGTCGTTGGTGTAGCCCTTGAAGCACTGGCAAAGGCCGGTGGCAAAGTCGCAGAGACCGCGGCCCGAGCACTGCGAGACGTACGTGTACGTGCCCGGCGCCGGCGTCGCCGTCGGCGTGAGAATGTAGAATGTTTCCGTGGCGCTCGTCACGGACAACCCATTCAAGGCCATGCCATTGAAGTTGCGGTCGACCGTAATGACCGCCGGTGCGGCCAGTATCTCTGGCGCGGCAGCTCTGTAGGAGGAATTTGCCGTTGTGTACGTAACTTCTGCCGCCACCACGACAGCAGCCACCGGTGGCGTGATGGACCGGACGTAGTAGATCGCGTTCTGGTACATGATCTTGCTGCCGACAACAGCCGTTGGGGCTACCGCGCACGAGAACGAATTGGAGCCGACGGCCCAGGCTGCGATCTGACACGCGTCGGCGACGGCTGCGAGGCCCGTCGCGTAGTACACCGTTGCCCCGGCCGTCATGCCGGCTGATGGTACAGGCCACACGGTCGTGATGGCCAATCCCGCCACCAGAGTAGCAATCGTGAGCCGGTCGTTGATTTTGATGACGGACAGGGCTGGGATCGGGGGTGAAGTGCCCGTGACCGTAATCGTATTGGCGGCGACCGAAGCGTAGTAAGCGCTGGTGGCCGTGGCGCAAAAGTCGATGGCTTCGCCGCGGCGGTTGTTGGCCGTCACAAACGCACGGGATGTGCTCGTCCTCGTGGTGCCGGTACTGTCTACGAACGCGGATGCCACAACCTCGGGCAACCGGATCGGGCCCGGGTTGTCCGTGTATTGGCACGTCACGTAGAAACCATCTTCGTCGGCGCTGAGGGCAGGAATGGTGTTAACATACCCCGGATAATCCTTCGAGTAGCACGAGATACTGGAAAAGACCTTGTTGGGCAGCGCCTGAAACACTTTGGTGAACGTCGTACCACCCACGTTGGTTGCACCCGCTTCGGCCGAAATCGGAATCCGAGGCGTCAAGTACGACTCGCCCTCGTGGTCGAACACACGCAGCTGGATCCACGACTTGGTCGAGTCCAGCGTATTGGCTCGCTGTCGTGGGCAGAGCAGCCGCAATGATGTTGAACGTCTCGTAGATCGGGTAGCCCGCGGCTTCGTACAACGGGTCCACGCCCACCTTGCAGCTGCGCTTGCTGCAGTCCGGTCCTTCAAACCCCGGGTCGCACACGCACTGGTAGCCCGCGTCGGCGTCCCACAACGTGTACGCTGTCTTGACGTTGCCTTTCGGGTTGCCCGTGATGCTGAGCGACCGGTCGCCGTTGGCTGCGACCTGCGCCATGGACTTGCACACGCCGCGGTTGTTGCAAGCGTTGGGACACTTGGCGCGCTGGCACGCCGAGCCCTCGTAGCCCGGGTAGCAGACGCAGAGACCGGTCGCGCGGTCGCAAATGCCTTCGTTGGAGCACTCCATGTAAAAGTGGGCTTCGTCGGCGACGGCCGTGGGTTTCGTCCACTCGTACGTGCCGCCAGGGTACATTTGCGAGTTTAAGAGGATCGTGCCACCCGAATTCATGACGCGGTCCATGTTGATGTCGCCTTTGGGCGTGTCGACGTGGGCGAAGCCGAACGGGCAGATGCGCAGCGCGCAGTCGTTGCCCATGAAGTTCTTGAAGCACGTGCACATGTCGCGCGGGCCGCAGACGCCGTTGCCGGAGCAGCCGCCGGGGCACTCGGCCGACGCCATCGAGGCCATGGCCGCGGCGACAGCGAAGATCCGAAGCAAGGGCTGCATGAGACTACCAATCGAGGAATGGTTCATTGGGCGGCGACCGCTTCGGCGGAAGTTTCGATATCGAAGGCTCGTTTCAACTGCTTTTAACTGGCGCCGCATCCGGATATGGCGCGTTGCATCGAATCTGGCGGTTACAACGGCTCGGTAGCTACATGGTTCAGCCCGTCCACTCAGCCGGTTGGAGCAAGGCGATCCAAGATATGAGGTGCAAGGTGCTGGTATCCGTCGCATTCGTGTTGAGACTGGAGCCCTGGAAGTGGTGTTAGGCTAATAGCTATGGTACTGAGACAGGTTTCTGTGCATGCGGAACCGTCGGCCGTGAAACCCCCGTCGGCAAAGTTTGTGGGTTTGACGATATGGCCGCTGCCTCGTAACCTTCGATAACCAGTCCCGCAACCGTTCGGTTCGCGACTGCTCAGCTTGGTCGCGAAAATGCATGTTTAGAGTCATGAGTTCTGTACTAGGTACGAAAATGCAAGATCATATTTGCATATTTATAGCTCATTTACATCGCATGGCAATCGAATGATGACGCAATCGGCGCCATGGGAGTGACCGATTTGACTGCGAGTGGCCATGACACAGGCAGCATGGGCACGGACCGCGCGGCTAGCGCTCGCCTGGATACCCGTCGGTATTACCTTCAACTCGCTTGTCATGAGCGTCGGCCGCGTCGAAGGCCGATCAATGCAGCCGACGATGAATGCAGAAGACGGCGACCGTGAGATCGTCCTCCTCGACAAATTCTCCGTCCAAGTCGCCCATCGGCTCGTGCGCGGGGACGTTGTCGTGCTGAAATCGCCGAGCGAGCCTCGTGAGTACCTCACAAAGCGGCTTATCGCGCTCGAGGGCGACTGGGTTGAAGGCCGCAGCGGCCGCCGCGTTGTCGTGCCGGCCGGCAAGTGCTGGGTGGAGGTGCGGTGATACATTGACATACTCTTCTTCTTGCCTCATGCAGATCGTATTGCGTAGGGCGACAATGCCGAGCTCAGCGACGACAGCAACTCGTTCGGATGCGTCCCCATGGCCCTCATCGAAGCGCGCGTGGCGGCCGTCGTGTGGCCTCTTTTCCACATCAAGCGCATTCGCAACGAGCATCCGCCGAACCGCATCTTATAAATACACACACTCAAGTTTTGTTGGTTGCTCCGCGTCAAACGCTTGGTTGCTCCCATCCGGACACGCATCCTGTTGCGGTCAAAACCTCAACGAGGTGCACGAGAGGCCGAGTCTTGCTCTCTGCGCTCCTTGCACGACGGCTCGTGCGTGGTCGCGTTGCTGGAAGATCGCCCACATCCGGATATCGCATCCGCATACGCCGCCCCAGAGTCGAAAGTGCAGCATGGTGCGTCGGAAGGTGTCGTCGTCCGTGGACGCGCGCAAGACGGACCGCCGGTTCTCGGACTTTCCCGAGGGCGTCGCGATGCCGCCGAGCATGTCCTTCCTCGAGACGCAGCGCATCAACGCGATGCAGATGGAGATCTACGGCTTTGCCGGCTGGATCGCGTCCATCGTCGTCTTTGGTATGACTTGTTTCTTGTATCAACCTCATGGGCATCGCTAGCCTGCTACCTGCTCTGGGCGTACCTGCCGGATAGCGTCCTCAACCAGTATGGCATCTCGTACTACCCGTCGCGCTACTGGGCCGTCGCGCTGCCCGCGATGCTCTGTATGTCGATCTTCATGGTGCTCATCATCTATGTGGCTATCAACCTCCTCTCGACGGCGCCCTTGGACTCGTACAACACGATCCGCGGTATAAGCTATAACGACTGCACATGGAAGCTCACGCTCTCGACAGACAAGTACACGGTCACGATGGCCGACGAAGACATCCAGGCGCAGGCCTCGGTCAACACGCCGGCCTTCACCGACATTCCGCTCACGTCTATCAATCGCGTTCTCTTTAGCTAACTGGACCCTATACATCATCTATGCCGCCGTCAAGACGATCGTGCTGTAGTGATTCTCGGTGCTCGCCGAGAGCTGGACCGCCGGGTACGTGGCCACGGTGGCCTCGACGACCGGGAGGAGCTCACTCCACGTCACGAGCGTCGACGGCTCGCCACCCAGACCTGCGCAGAGACCCGCGACCTTCTTGCGCAGCGGCTCGGCCCACATGTCCTTGGCAGCCGCCAAAAACTTGTCGAGGTGCTTGCGCGGCAGCGGAATGTCGCCCGGCGCGTGCTCCGTATGGGGGTCGATGCCGTGAAAGTCCGAGCCGCCAAGCTACAGACAAGTGTGAGGCACGAGAGACGATCGAGATCCACCTTGAGCAGCTTGGACTCGGTGGCGAGCGAGCCGTAGAGATCGATCTTGGTCACGTCATGGTACACCTCGACGCCCTACACAGAACCGTACAACGTTCCGCCACCGTACATGTCTCGCAGCGTCTACGTTGATGCCTGCTGCAGCCAGCTTGGGCACGACGAGCAGTGGGTTCTTGCAGCACCACGGGTGGGCCAGCACTACGAAACGTCAGAGGCACGGCGCTGAGTTTCATCGCACCGGAGATGCCACCGGCTTCGGTAATCATTTTGATCGCAGCTACTCGCAACAATATGGATCCAGAGCCCGTGTCATCACGCCTAACCTTCGGGCGGGAAATGCTCGCCCTACGCAAGAGCGTCAGCCGACGCGACCACAATATATTTGGCGCCAACCTCAGCGTACGCGGGCCCGTCGTTGCCAAGGTAGCGGGCAAAGGCTTCGCGGAAGTGAGCGACGTGCCCTGCCTCGACGAGCGCCTCGGCGACGTGCGGGCGGCCCGGCGCGGCTTCGCCAGCAATTTCAAGGACGCGGTTCCAGTCCAAATGGATCCCCATCGCCGCCTGCGCGCCGCGTTAGTAGAGTGCGGTGCGTCTCTTACGCACGAGTTTGCGGAGCATTTCTTGGCCGCGCTTGTGGCGCGCTTGGCGGATCAGGAGGAGCTGCGCCTCCAGCTCGACGCTCTCGGTACCGGGGCAAAAGTAGCCGAGGATGTGCATGTTTTCAGCGCCTTTCTCTTCCGCGCTGATCTCGACGCCGGGCATCACAAAGACGCCGAGGTCCCGCGCCGCCGCCAGCGCCTCGTCGACGCCGGCCATCGTGTCGTGGTCGGTCAAGGACATGTACTGGACGCCGTTGGCCGCGGCCTTGGCGATGACCTCGGCGGGGCGGAACTTGCCGTCGCTGCACGTGCTAGGGCCAACGTCCGTGCCAAATCTAGAGTACCAATGAGGAGCAGTACCTGTGCAGGTGAAAGTCTCCGAGCGACATTTCTTCGTGGTTGGAAGGAAAGAGGTCGTGGGCGAGCATGGAGGGAGACGGCGAGTCAGGATCATCGTCCGAGCCGGCAGCATGGCGAGCAAACTTACTCTGGTACGTCGGCTGGAGGTTCACGGGCTTGCGCTTCGAGCTCTTTGGCTTGCTCGACTTCTTCTTCTTGCTGCTGCTGCTCTGGACCATGGCGGACGCGGGATGTTGATGACGGAAGAGATCGGACCAACCAATCGGTGACGACCAATACGCTCCTTTTATACTCTTTTGGCCTCCCCGGGGTAGGGGGGGCGGGGCCCAAACAGCCGACTTTGCACGTGGGACCTACCGAATCGACGTGGCGCGTGGCCACGTGATGACTACCGATTGACTGTATATATATATATATGAACGTTG